CCAAAGAGGGACGAATGAGTGTTCCGTCGAACCTTTTCGTCTCGGAAAACAGTGCAGTCCAGGAGTCGAGCTTTCTGTCCACACAAGACGTTTCGAAGCCCGTGGACGACCTCCAGTTCGTTTTCTCGTCCTCGCATGGCACCTCGGGAATTCAAACCAGAGAATCCGTTGACATGCTCATCGCAGAGCTTCCGGACGGTACCTGCCCTGACCACCTAAGGACGTGGACGTTCAAGGAAGGAGACGATACTGTGAAAGAGGACGATGCTGCGTAGGGTGGAAGGGAAAGCATAGGAGAGAACATAGCTCAGTCAATGACATTTGTTTATGGGCCAGATGCTTTCGGACAAATTGTAGATCGTTGCTCCGACCTAGACGACGGGAGTTAGGTTACATACACAAATGCCAAGATTCATTCCATGGTCAATTCTCAAGTACAAGTGGTTTTATGTCTTTTGCGAAAGCTAGTGTATTCTCTTTGTCCCCGCATCGGCTGCATGCGCAAGCTCTACGTAAATAGCAACGACGTATACGGTCCGCAGTTAGAAGCAGAAACTGAATCGTCGTTTGAGATATGGAATGCATGTCAAGACCAGTATATGACTGGTAGAAATATCAGAGTACGTGATCAAGTCAAACGACTCTTGCGAAAACAGCCAACACATAACACAGACGCCCCGATATTTCCTGTCTCGGATATAGGAGTTGATTCCGTGGTGCATTAAGGCAGGAGTAAGGGAACGGCTAAGTTTAGGGGTTTGTCTTAGAGTGGGTGAATTTGCGATTGCGAGATAGACTAGGGGACAAACATGGTGAAATGCAGAAGGACCCGAATTCCAATTGTTGCACTATCTAGCTGAGGAAAAAGGAAAGGGTCAGGACCAGGAAAGAGAAGAAACATTCGACACAACGATCCAGGCAACCAAACGTCGATTTATGCCCTAAGATCATCGGGCTTCATCGCGGAAACGAGACGCGCTTAACCAGCTCCTCCGTCACTTGGCCGCTTTCTTCGCGCCGCGCTTGGTCTTTGTCACCTCCAGCGGATCGTGAGGCGTAGGGCTGCGCTCTTCTCTCTTACGATCACCCCTCTTCCACTCTTCATGACGATCCCAAGAGATGATGGCAGCTGCGAAGATGGCCAGATCGGCGGCTGGCATAACCGTACCCTTCGCGAGAATGACTCGGTCCCCGATCGTATAGTCTCGGACAGCGGCCATTGGCTTCATGCCGAAAACCGACCTGACTGTGGACCGCGTCTCGAACGTTTTCTGGTTGTTTCCATTCAACCACTTTACCT